GGCAGCTGGGGTGGGGGCACTGGGAGGTGCGTGGCTTGGAGACAAAGCCCCTGAGGACACCAGTTATCTCATCTATCTTCAGACTCATCTCATGGACTCCTGCCCTTTCTCCCCACCCTCGGGGAAGGGCAGGCTCCTTCCACTCCCTGCAGTTAGAGCTTAGCCCTCAGAGACTCCAGCACCTCCCCCTCACCACCCCCAACAAACTGCCAGATTCCAAGTGCCTGGAGTCTCCCCATCGATCACCTTTAATGCCTAGACTATGCTGAGAGCCTCCCATCACCTCAGCAGATCTGATCTCAGGGGGACAGCATCTGATTATTCCAAGTGGGGATGTTCACTTAAAGAAAAGAGACCAGCGGACCAGCTTACCTGGAACACAACCTGCTCAGGTGGTCTGGACATAGCCCTTAGCATCCTGCATGTGTCTCAAGGGGCAGATCTGCAGAGCCACAGGACTCTGGGCTGCCTGTCAGAGCGTGACCTGAGGAAGCCGTGCCAGCTCAGAGCTGGGGCACACCTGGAGGGAGCGGGCAGGCTGTGCCAGGATGGTGGTGGCTCTGGCCAGACACAGAGGTGGCAGAGCCAGGTGTGGGGTGTGGCCCCGGGGAGCCTTACTGATTTGGAAAGAGCAGCGGCTGTGAGGTCTGCGGCTCACAAGACTCCCCCTGCCCCCAAATTCATTCCAGGATTGAGGAAATGCAGGAGAAACTCTTCTGGGGGTAGTGGTGGAGACCACAGGGGCCAGGGTCCCCACCATGGCAGGATGGGGCAGGTGCCAAGGGTGCATGGATACACAGAAACCGGGCCAGTTTGCTGAGAGCCTTGGAGACGCTGAGACACTCCCAGGCTTACCCAACAGAGACCCTCTCCCCAGCTGGAGGGGAAACAGCCCTGAAGTGAAGATTTGGAGCAGAAGTTAACAGTGGCCACCTTTGACAAAATGGCTCAGAATTCTCACTGAACTGATTGTATCACACAAGACAAACACAGCAACTTGGTGGCTCCTCGCCACAGCCCTTACTTTCTGTCTCCCTTGCAGAGACAGGGTTCTGACCCAGCAAACAGACCGTTATGAAACAGCGATCCACGCCCTTTGTGGTTGAACAAGAGGAACAGCTAGACACAATTTCCATTCCATAGTCCCCCAAAACTAGATGTGAATTTTCCAGTATTTCTGCTGCTGCGGAGTAGAAGACGTATATCTGAGGACCCAGACATTAAACACAGCCAAGGGGTCCTGCTTTGGCCCAGTCCTCACCATCACAGTATCTGAAAGCCAAATGTCCATTTCCTTCAGAGTCCCCATAGCATGCGCCACCTAGATGGATTACATTTTGAAAAACCAATCTATTAATTTAAATTACATAAATTCAATTCTATATTAACCTAAAGTTACCCTAAAGTTTTAAGATAACAACAAAATAGATCATGTTTGAGCATTTCTTTAAATGAAAGATGCAAAGGAACGTAACTGTGTTCTTTCTGCGATTCCCTACACTCCTGTTCCTGAGTCGAGGATACAAAGGTCAACCGCAGAAGAAGTTCAGAAGGTAACAAATTGTGGGAGCTTGTTGAACTGGAGAAGCAAGGACACAGGAGTTAATTTACCTCAGAGGGAGAGAGGATGGCACAGATGAAAGATCTGACATTCCTATGAATCCTGGGAGCTGGCCGCGTCCGGCTTTCCCAGCACTGGTCTGGTCCCTGGTACCTGGTTCCTTGGCTTGGTCCAGAGGACAGAACTTTAAAAGAAAAAGCAAATACAACAGAGAAGATTATTTTTACATCAGTTCTTTGAGGGAGTCTCAGTACTGCTCATTTCTCTTCTGATCTTTAAACTCGAGTCATTTTTTTTAAATTTCAGCTTCATTGAGGTACAATTGACACAACTGTAAGATATGGAAAGTGTACACTGCGGTGATCTGATACATGTGTGCACCGTGAAAGGATTTCCCGCACATGGTTAACCAACATCCGTCTTCTTACATTTATCTTCATGTGTGAGGACATTTAAGTTCTCTCTTAGCAAATTTCAGTGATACAAACAGCGATTGACAGTTGTCACCACATTTTACACTCAATCCTCAGAAATTATCCCGCCTGTAAGCTGGAAATTTATACCCTCTACCAGCCTCTCCCTGTTCCCCTGGTCCCTGGCAACCCCCACTCTAGCTCTGTTTCTAGGATAAACTTAAGTCTAAGATGGAAAGAAAATAACCCACAAAATGTAAACAACTTAAATGCTCGTCTTAAGACAAAGTATCTACAAGAAGCAGTTATATTCAGAGACTTTGTTATTAATAAAATAGAAAATTCTGTCTACTAATAATAAACCACTCCAACTTTATGTGTTTTTTACATAACCAGCCTTTATTTGATACTCCAACCCCTGTAAATTTGGGATGGGCTGGTAAATGCAATCCATCAACTAAAGCTGAATTTTAACAGTGTAAATATCTCATTGTGTTTAGAAGTGGTAGAAGCAGAATTTGAACCTGGATCTCAACCCCCAGCCTTTCCGGATTCTGATAGAACCAGTTGTCTTTCTTAGTTGACATGTTGAAACAAAGTGATATACTTGAGTTACAGCATTTAAACTGTGCGTTTCAAAAAAAAAATAATAATAAACTGTGCGTTTCCTTGGTGCACTGCCCTGAGATCCTGGTGGGTTGCCCTGGGAACCCTGGTAGGTTACCCGGGGACCCTGTTGGCCCCTGGTCCCTGCCCAGCTCAGCCCCACCGAGCACCTGCCCATCAGGCCCGGAGAGTCCATGTCCTCACCCTGCTGCTCTCAGAGTGAAATTTTCTTCAGGCATGTTCCTACCTCCCAGTGGTCTGTGTAAAGACCTACTGGCACACAACCTTCTAAAGTAAAATCAAGATCAACTGAAAGGCACTTTTAATGCTTATTGTCAGCTTTATATTTTGCCAATATTGTATATGAAATATATTGTAAAAAATTAAAAATAGAACTACCATATGATCCAGCAATCCCACTCCTGGGCATATATCTGTAGAAAACCATTATTCAAGAATATACAGGCACCGCAGTGCTCACTGCAGTGCTATTTACAATATCCAAGACATGGAAACAACCTAAATCTCCATTGACAAATGAATGGATAAAGAAGATGTGGTACATATATACAACAGAATATTACACAAGCATAAAATGAAGGAAATAATTTCATTTGTAGCAACAGGGATGGCCCTAGAGATGATCATACTAAGTGAAGTAAGTCAGAGAGAAAGTCAAATATCATATGACATCACTTACATGTGGAATCTAAAGAAAGAAAAGAAAGTGAAGTTGCTCAGTCGTGTCCAACTCTGTGCAACCCCATGGACTGTAGCCTACCATGCTCCTCCATCCATGGAATTTTCCAGGCAAGAGTACTGGAGTGGGTTGCCATTTCCTTCTCCAGGGGATCTTCCTGACCCAGGGATCAAACCCAGGTCTTCCGCATTATAGGCAAATGCTTTACCATCTGAGCCACCAGGGAAGTCAAAAAAGGTACAAATGACCTTATTTACAAAACAGAAATCTAGTCATATTTATAGCAAACAAACTTTTGGTTACCAAAGGGGAAAGGCGGGAAGGGATAAGCCGGGAGACTGAGATTGACGTAAACACACGACCATATATAAGATAGATGACTAATAATGGCCTACTGTATAGCACAGAGAACACTATTCAATACTCTGTGATAACTTATATGGGGAAGGAATCTAAAAGAGTGAACTCTGTACATGTATGACTGATTCACTTTGCAGAAACTAACACAGCACTGAATATCAACTATACGCCAATAAACAAATAATACAAACATACATAAATACTCATTTACCAACAAGAAACAAAAGAAATATGTTGTAAATTTGGGGAGCAAATTAGTAATAAATCACTGTACAAATGGACATGAGGCTACTGATTGGCTTAATTGAAATTAGCTGTATTAAATTAACTAAATTAAAATGTTCACTGCTGTGGACACAGTGACAATATGTGTAATGACAGGATGGATGCTGACTTTCCAGCCAAGTCAATGGCAAGAAAATAGCCATGGCAAATATCCAATGGCAAAACATACCCAAAGGTGGGAGGAAAAACACTTCATCCTCAAGGCAATTTGTACAAGTTTACAAAAACAGTTCCAGGGTATCTGCCTGGGGTGTACCTGAAATAGAAAATACCAGAAACTGTACAGTTTTCAAAACATTTTTTATGTGCAAAGAATTCATGGCTTAACCTTATTGAAAATGTATACAAAATTCAAACCTCATCAAAATGAGTTTGTAGGATTGTTCAAATTGCTGCATAGCCCTAAAGAAAGAAATGAATCAGGTTATAAAGAGCTCCCTAAAGCTTCTACCAAGGTACTGCAATAAGCAGGATGATGGATCAGACCGCTGACACACACAGTCAGAGTTGCGAATAACCCAAAAGACCTAACACCTGGAGTAAGTTTGAGGTTCACGGCCATGCAACATCTTTACAATTCAAAAGGGCACACACACACACACACACACACACACACACGTCTCCTTCCTGGCATTTTTATACAAATTCACACACGATCCTGAGTATGCATTATTTTTCTAACCTTCTGACAAATATAGAAGAGAAGAAACAATTTTAAGAATTTATGAAACTTTTTAAAAGATCATCTATAAGCTGATTAAAATGTAATAGCTGAAGAAGCCACATCAGGAAAGAACTGTAGTTATGGGGCCTATTAAAACCTCTACTAAAATTGGCCTCTCTATGTAGAAAGATATTTTTAAACACTGACTGCTAAAGTGATGGCAGAATTATTGAATAATGACGCACAAATTGTCACTTTTATTAGCGATGGCCTTTCAGTTTCATACTTTCCACATTGTTTTTGTTTGGCAATAAAGAGAATCCTGACACTGATAAGTCTGTAAACGTTTAGAACTTGAATTGCATTATCTCTGGAATGGAATGTCACCTCCTGAGGGCATTTCTTTGCCAGGTGAGCAGACAGCCTCTGGGTGTGATGGGCTAAATGTGTCAGTCACGCGCTGGGCCCTGGGCCCTGTGCTGGTCACTGCACCACCCCAGGCCCGTAGCCAGCCGAGGAAGCTTCCGCCGCGGCCCGCCTTCCTGAGACAAGATCCGTCACAGCCCCGAGCGCCTCTGCAGGAGAGCGGACCAAACACACAGCGGGAACCGCTGGCCGCGCAGGCCCTCGCGCGCTGGACGGACGAGGCCGCCCGCGGACCGAAGCCGGAACCCAGGCTGAGGGGGAGTCTGAAGTCCAGACTACTCTCTGAGTGAATGTGGGCCTTTTCAATACACGCCCCAAGCGTAGAACTGACAACTATTAGAGCAAACTCAAGGAGTCAGTATTCTACACAGCAGGTAGCGACCTGAGGGAGTCAGGATCGGGCAGGTGAGGTGTGCACAGTCCACAAGGCCGCCCGGCAGGCTACACCATAGCACGCAGCTCACACCCGCTGTTTGTAAAATGGATACACTGCCATTTTCTAGAGTTATTGAAAATTATTTTTAAATCTTAAAATATCCATATGTCTTTGAAAACATATATACATATTTTTCTATCCTTTGAGTAGAAACGTTTGTGTAAAATTAGTTTTAGGCCTTGATTCTGACGTGTTTATTTGTCTTTCCTTGGTTTGCCTCAAGAATTACCCCCTGACAAGTCCCTTTCTGATAACACTGCTGGTTCTCATCTAAATAACTAATTTAAATAAAAATAATGATAAATAACTAGTTCTCATTTAAATAACTAAGAAGTGACCAAGCCAAAGGCCAGCACACATGATGGAGAGAGACGAGGGACTCCTTCATCACATCGCCTGACCCGTGGCCTCAAAATGAGAAACAAGTTTTGAAGTAAGAATCTTCCCAGAAGGGTGCAAATACTATTCAACACCCATCAACAGCATACACACTTCACAGAATCCCCCATTTATTGAGAACTTTCTCCCACCCTGAACTAAACCTCAGAGAAACACACTGGGCCTTCTCAGGAATAAGCCCAAAGCCTGAGGTCCCAGGAGCTATGAAATTAAAAGCAAATAAATAAAATTGAATAAATACATAATATGTTGAACAACCTAGCTGAGCCTTAAACAGCTTTTCCTTGTATGAAAACTTCCAGGAAGAAACTGAAGTTGATGTGAGCATATGCCCTACAGGTTGTGCTGTGATATTTTAACCAAGATACAGGGAATGGTGACTGAAGCCACTGACAAGGTCTCTGGGCTGTCCCTTCTACTTGGGCACACACACACACACACACACACACACGAACGCACACACATACATGCATGCTCATGCACATGCATGCTCACCCACACATAAATGCATGCACATAATGCAGGCACACACATGCACGCACACACATGCACTCTCATTATATTTGTTTTAAAAAACAGAAATTTAGACATTGATGAGAATTTAGAAGCATCTCTCCTGCTCCTCTTGTTTTTGAAACTCTGATGCATGTTTTAAATCTACAATAGTCACTATTTAGCCTCAGCAGGCAGAGACCCACAGGGACTGGGGGCCCTGCCTGCAGACCTAAGACAGGGAGGAATGACAGATAAAATACAACTTCATCCAAACCCTTCCCCAGAACAGATGCTGAAAGCCAAACCAGAACTGCTTTGAAGAGCATAGGAAGAGAAAACTGGGTTAACTCTGGGTTTTGCTGCTTTTAAATGAGGGTTAGTCTGCAGAGTCTGCACTTCTGAGCCCCTATAATAACTAGATGCTGCAAGAGAAATGCCAAGCCCACCCCCAAGCTGCCCAGCACACATTAATTGAGTGCCTACTGCATACCAGGGACAAGTCAACCAACCAGCACTTCCTCGGGGATCACTAAGATGGGCAATGCTCAGAATACAGGTGGGATAAAATGCAGGATTCTGCTTAGAATGCCGAGTCAGGAAATAGTCTTCTCCACGTTTCCCACGCTTTCAAGTTTTCTCTCTGCCAGAAAGGCATCCTACAGCTTGGCATTCTTCTCGGAGAAATCTGTGACCACATTTATAAACAAGTAGCTATTTGTCATGAAGGAGCTTCTGTGTGGGGATCCATGGACAGTCAGTGTGCCGTCCACAAACCTTGAAGACCATGAGGAAAATGGAGATCCTGCCAGATCCTACACCCATGTCCACGCTACCTGGCTACTAGCGGGCCAGAGGACAAGCCTATATTTGGAATAGCTGAGTGTCCCAGGACCTGGCCAGGCATCTGAAGGCCATTCCAATATAGGGAGCAAGTTGTCCCACTGGCAAAAAGCCTTCCCTTCTGTCAAAGGATAATTAACCAACAAATTAAATAATGTAACAAAAAAAACCTACCTGGACAGTGTAGATCCACAAAATAACCCATGTCTACAGTGGGGCTTCTGAAAGTAAAGACAGTTCTGTTTTTAAAAGCTCTTCAGACCCCAGGCTTGCACTCACTGGCCCCATGAGGCTGTTGAATTAATGACTGTGACACACTCTCTTGCCTAAACTGAGCTGTCAACCTGTTCACCCAAGATGCTGCTACAGGACCAAACATAAGGCATGACCTTGACTGGAAACAGTCCCTTTGACATCAAACCCCTCCTGGTCCTCCTCGTCTCAGGTGATACTCCAGACCACCATCCCTCACATGGCCACCACTTAGTCCAGAAACAGCTCACCCCCGCCCCCACGCTGGCCACTGAGTGCAGGTCACGGTAGCTCCTAGAAACAGGAGTTTGGCTCCTAAGAGAAAGACACATAACCCCTTGACTCCCTCTGGACCTTCCAACTCAGCACGAATGTTGTCACATGGATGCTGAGAAAGATCAGAGAGAAGGAGGCAGCCTGATGTTGATACACCTGCAGTATCGGAGGAACTGACCTCTGAAATTCTCATTGTATGACAGTCAAATCAAGGGTCCTCTTGCAGGCAAGAGCTCCCTAGTAACTCAGAAAACATAGTGTTGCTTCTGCCACAGTCCCTACAGATGAGTCTGAGAGTCCTCCAAAAAGCAGAGATTGAAAGATTGGCAACAGTCAGAGTACCATATTTTAGCTAAATGCAAATACTTGTTTTGAAATAAGTGTCAATTCACATGGCTAAGAAAGTAAAGAATCTGCCTGAAATGCAGGAGGCCTGGGTTCAATCCCTGGGCCAGGAAGATCCCCTAGAGAAGGAAATGGCAACTCACTCCAGTATTCTTGCCTGGGAAACCCCATGGACAGAGGAGCCAGGTGGGGTGACAAAAAGCCATGGGGTGTCAAAAAGTTGGACACGACTGAGTGATTAACACTTTCACTTTTTCATAGGTCATTTAAACTTGACTTTAGAATTCCAATGGGAATATACTCCTTGGTATACCCCTTCAGGGGTGGGTACATAGAGACCCCCACAGTCTCCAGGGCTGATGTGACGTGTAGAAAACCTGCATCACTTTATACCCCCTTTTCTTCCATCACTCAAAAAAAAAAATATTGGCTTAAACATTTCTTCTCACATTTAATGCTATATCCAGAAGTTTCATAAGTTTTGCTTAGACTGTCAGACACCGTTTGGAGAGCTCAACAAGAGAAGGAAAACACACTGTATTCTCACATTTTCTCTCTTTCCGCTCATCCTGCCCTGTTCCCCAGTCTCCTGGGACTTGGATGACTCAACACTGGCCCCTCCAGCTGGGGTCCCTCTGGGCCATTTGCTGGTGTGAGTGGGTTTGGACACGATCAGGTCCTGCAAGGTTCCCTTCCCTGGTCCTCAACCACATCTTAGCTTCTGTATTATTCCAGCCCAGGTCTGGGGCATGAGGTGGAGAGAAACCAGGGACCCCTGTCCCAGTCTGTGTTGTTCTCAGAGGCCTCTCCCCTCCTGTCCACCTGCCTGCCTCCACCGTCAGACTCTCACTTCATGTATTAGACTTTTGACGCCCACTGATTTCAGTTGTGCTTCATGGAGGAACAGGAAAAGTGCGTCTAATTCATCCTCCTGAAAGAGGAAACGCCTCCGTCTCTGTCCACCCTTCCCCTCTGGTCACTGCGGGGAGAAGGGAGGGTTGCTTTTGCTTTTTGATTGTTTGGTTTAGTTGTTTTGCAAGCAAGAATCATGGCACTTTTGAGACATAAAGACAATGTTTGCTCAGTTTCAGAATGAATTCCCAGTTTTCTGAATGAAGCAGAGAGGCATCATAATAACAAGCTCTCGGAATTCAACCCAACAATTGGAACCAGGCCGAGGTCCCAGGAGCCCCGTGCAGAACCCGGGTGAAGCAGGCCACACAGGCCTCCAGGCCCCTTGGGGAGGAAGAAGACTGTGGACAGTCCTCCCCGCCACTACCCTCGCTCTGGGTTCGGCTTCACAGGCCTCTGGCTCAGGAGAACGGCCAGTAGCCAGGCCGGCTGCTCTGTGCCTGCTGCCCGGAGAGCCGTCAGGGACGCACAAGTCCAGAGGCCAGGCTGTGAGTCCACTCAGGGAAGGAGCGACAGCGCCTGTCTTCCCTGCCCTGGGCTCATCCCGCTCTGGGCTCCCAAGCCTGCAGCTCAGCTCCCAGCTGAGCAGGAGGGGCCTGGCGGCCGGCCGCGGCAGCAGGAACTCCCCTTGCAGACAGCCAGTCTGCGGCCGGTGGCCCACAGAAGGCCACTCTGTTCCCGGCCACCGGCAGCATCCCCACTGCACAGGCCGCGAAGAGGGAGGCTCTGAAAGGAGTGTTTTTTTTCCCTAGAATACACAGCACTCTTATTTCCTTGGGGGTGCAGCAAAAAAAATGAGCCAGGACCAGATCGGCAAATGCTGGGGAGTCGGCAAGGACATTTATCTCCAGTGCTGGGGCGCAGGACGAGTCGCCGGGAGGCACTTGGAATGCTTCAATAAATCATCATGAAACATGAAAATAAGAAAGCATTTGCTAAACACGTCTGGGAGGAGGCTTTCATGCCTCTGCTTTTTTCTACCAACTGCTGCTCCTCGGAGAGTCGACGGAGCTGCTGGAATTCAACAGAAATTGGTTATTTGTTTGAGGTGGGAGGGGGAAGAAAGCAGTCCATGCCTAGAGTCTTGATTTACATGGGTTTCTGAGGTCAAAGAATATTCAACTGGAAAATCTATGTGCATATGTTATAGGAAGTGTAAAAAAAAAATAACAATAAAAAAAACAAGTAGGAATATATCTCCCGGATGTGTGCATTCTTAACAAAAGGTCCATTGAAAGGTACCATATCATTTGCTTTCCCTTTTATTAAAATATAAGAATTGGTTTCTTTAAAAATCTGTGAGAAGAAGCCACATTCTTTTATGAAGCAGGCTCGTGAGCAATGTTGCACCAGTGTGGACCCCGGAAGCCCAAGGCCATCAGGAGACACACACTGGGGCTCAGCTCCCTTCTTGGCAAGCAAGGTGTCCTGGTTTGTTCTGAGCAGGAGGTGGAGCCACATGAAAACAGGGACTCCTTCCAGCCTAGAAGCCACCCCTTCATGATGCTGGCCCATCCTTCCTCAAGCCCCTGATCCAGCCTGACGGCCACTTTCTCCAGGAGCCTGTCTGCAGCCCAGGCCATGGGCTGCCCCGTGATGTCTGTGCCCCCGGTTTCCAACAGGGGCCGAATCGAGTCCCCCGCACACTTGGGGCTGAAGTCCTGACCCCAGGACCTCAGTGGGGGATACACTTGGAGAGAGGCCTTTAAAGAAGTGGTTGAGGTACAAGAAGGTCCCATCTGAATGGTGTCCTAGTAAGAAGAAGAGATTCAGACCCAGACACATAGAGGGACATGGTGTGACGACAGAGGAGATGGACACAGGAGAAACCTGCCCTCCAACCCTTTATCTCCAACTCCCAACTTCAGGACCCTGAGAAGATGCACATCTGTGACACTTGTTACAGTCATCCTGGCAAAGAAACAGCCTCTCACACTCCATGACACCCAGCTCCCAGCCTCGGGCGAAGGAAGACACAAAGCTGGCTTGTTGGTGACCCAGTTTGCTGTTAAATAATGCATAATAACGTAAATATATGTAATGACATATGTAGTATATACAATACATATAGATTAGATAAATTAATACAGTGATGTCTCATATAACATAACTGATGTATAATTTTATGTAATGTATATAATATGTTATATTTATGCAACACAGAATAATACATTATGTAATATAACACTATGCATCACATAGCATGATATACACAGAGGAAATATAGTGGGTGAAAAAGAGAGTTGCAATTTTATGAAAGCTAAAAAAATGTACTGAGTTCTGAAAACATTCTGTAAGTAAGATGCTTATAAAATATTTAAAATAAAAACTAAAAATCTAGCAGCCTTCCATTGGACTTTTGCTCCCAGGAAGATGTCATAGACAAGTTTTTCCCTTTCTTCCTCCTAAGTACAAATAAAAGCAATAAACAGTATGCCTAACACAAGCACAGAGGCAGGAAGGAGAAGGCAGGTAGCTAGAGAACAAAGTCACAGGGCCTGTAGGTGGATTTAAAAAAGAAAAGTCCCTGAAAGAAAGGAGGAAGAAAGTGTATGGAAAACTATTCAATGAAATAATGACTCAAAAATCTTCAAATTTGGCAAAGGACATAATCCTACAGATTTAAGAAGATGAGAAAATCCCAAACAGGATAAACCCTAAAACAGCGTTTCCAAGAAACATCCTAGTCACATTACTAACATGTGAGGGCAAAGAAAAAAATCTGGAAAATAGGAGGAGAAAAGAACATGCTTTCTCTAGGGGAAAAACAATTTGAATGAGAGTGAAGTTCTCTCCAGAAATTAGAGTCCACAATGTTTTTTTAAGATGTAATAGAAAAGAACTATCAACCCAGAATCCTATACTGATAAAACACCCTTCAAGAATGAAGGAAATTCAAGACTTTCTCAGATGGAGAAAAAAAGAAAACATCGCTGCTTGCAGAACTAACTCAACAGAGGGCTAAGTGAAGTTCTCTAGACAGAAAGGCATGTCTGACAGGAGACTTGGAGCAGCAGGAAATGAGAACAATGGAAAGAGTAAAAATATGTATCTAGACAATGCATGTCCTTCTCCTACGGAGTTTTCCAAGTTACTCTTGATGATTAAAACAAAAATTATAACACTTTCTGCTGTGACTCTAAAAATACATTTAAAAAAATACATAAGACAATTGTATTTTAAACAAGGTTATAAATGGGATGTAAAACAAGGTAGTCTCCAAACTTTATTCAAACTGGAAAATACTGACATCAGTAGTCTGTGACTAAACCAACAATAATAACAACTAGAAAGAGAGAAAGAGTTACATTTAAAGACACTAAGATAAATCAAAATGAAACTCAAAAGATGTGTTCAACTAACCCAGAGAAAACCAGGGAGAAAAAACACAAAGAAAATAAAATAATAAATAAATAAATAGAAAAGAAAAATGAGGGTTGGTTTAAGCCTAACAATTAATAATTATATTAAGTGCAAGGTCATCACTTAAAAAACAAAGGTTGGCCCAGGGGATTGAAAATTATGACACAATTATAAATTATGACAAACTATATAGTAAAGATGCATCATGCAAACATCAATCCAAAGAAAGGAGCTATCAACATACATATTCCTATCAGCTAATGGAGACTTCACAGCAAAGAGTACACAGCGGCAGAGAGGAACAGAGCATTATGGTGAAAGACCAGGCCACCAAGAAGACGTAGCCATCACAGATGTGTATGCGCCCAGCCATAGTGTAGAGTAAGTTGTAAAACAAACCATGATAGAGCCGAAAGGGGAAACGGCAAGCCCACAACTCTATTTGGAGATGTCATGACCCCTCTCTCTGCACTTGATGGACAGTTATTCAGAAAACCACCAACGACGTGGAAGGACTCAGTGGCACCATCAGCCAACAGGATCTAGTCAACACATCAAGAAACACCATTCCCTGGTCAGAAAACAAAACCAACAAGTTTAACAGAATTATAATCATACAGAATGCGTCCTGCCCACAACGGAGTCAAAATGGAAACCAAAAATGGGAAGATACTTCTTTGAAACTAACGGGTGTCCTTTTAAATAGTCCGTGGGTCAAAGAGGAAGTCTTGGGAGAAAGAAAGTGTCCATTGAACTGAATGAAAATGAAAATGGTCCATATTGAAATGTGTGGTATGTGGCTAAAGCAGTGCTGGGAGGGCCATTCATAGCACTAGATGTTTATATCAGAAAAGAGGGAAATCCCCACATCAGGGATCTAGGCTTCCCACTCAAACATCTAGAAAAGTAAACATGAAACAAACAGAAGGGGGGGGGAAGCCAGAAACCATTGAAATTGGAAGCACAAAAACAGTACAGAAAATCCATGAAATAAGAAGCTTTTTCTTTGAAAAGATCAACAACACTGACAAACCTCTAAAAAGACTTACAGGAAAAAAAGAGAGAGGGTACGAGTTTCCACTATCAGTCATGAAGTGGAGATGTTACTACAGATCCTGCAGTCATCAAAATGGTAATAAGAAAGTGACATGGGCAAGTCTACACACATGAATGTGACAGCTTAGATGAGTGGACCAATTCCTTGAAAAGCACAGACTACCACAACTTACCCATTATGACACATGGAATTTGAATAGCCTTTTAACTATTTGGGAAATCCAATTTGTTACTAAAAACATCCCCCAAAGGTAATCTCTAGGCACAGAGAGTTTCCTTGAAGAATGCTACCAAATCTTGTAGAAAAATTAACATTAACTGTTTAAACTCTATTCTGGAAAATAGAAGAACCAAGTTACACCCCATGCTGAATGAATAGCCATGTCTGAGCTCCTGCCGGGGGCCAAGAAGACACAGGCTTTCTGAGCCACAGCTTCTGGCAGGGCTATGCTAGGCCTTTCAAGTAGCTGACAGAATCACAGAGTTTATGAGAAAGCAGATGCAGAAGAAAATAGTTAATATAAAATCTGCTGAGCATTCCAAAGTGAGTGTATGAAGGCTGCCGATGGGAACAGGGACGGCGGGGAGGGGGCGGGTAAGATGTAAAATAGAAACATTTTGGATTATAATAAACTTTAAAGTGCTTTGTTGTCAGATCTTTTGAGGCATTGCACATGTATTTAATAATAATCTAAACCATTAGAAGGTTGGAGGATATTAATGAAAGACCAAGTCTGTGTTGTAATTAGCACACTGATTTGCATGTAAAGCACAGCTGAGCACAGAAACGTGTCTATGTAGCCACAAGCCCTGGGTGTGTTAGCAATTTATCAATTTTAAGCAAATAATTCACCATGTGTTTAGAAATTTAAATTGTAGCTGCATAGGATGTATGACATGGGACAGCCTGAGTCCATGAGGTTTTGCTATAAACACTAGTGAATTTTTTATCTGTTTGAAAAAAGAAGATTCCTTCCAACCAAGTGAGGTCAAGTGTAAAACATCAGATACAATGTGATAAAGAGCACAGAGTAATCAAGTTGCTCATGTACCCTCACAAATAGATGTTTACTTTTCAGATTCTGGTCTTCGCCTTGAACTTCTCTGACAGGAAGAAGTCTGCTTGACAAGGCGTACAGTAACATAAACTGAATCTGCACTCAGCTGAGGCATCGAGGCCTTGCAGAGCAGCCTCGCCATTCCCAGGCTCCCCTCGCAGCATCCATGTCCGCTGGGAACTCTCAGCCAAGGGGCCTGCGGGGGCCGCATTCTCTGCCCAGAGAGCACTGTCCACATCCATCTTCCAGGGGAAATAGCTGTCCAGGGGCCGAGGGCCGATAAGAAGTGGCAAGTGACAGATGAGGCACCCACACCGGCGGACAAACGGCCCCCTGGGGATGGGAGGACATACGAAACGGCGACTGCAGTTCAGCTGGCCACTGCAGGCCTGCCAGAAACATCACACACATGTGCACTGTGCACACACGCGAGCACAGGCGCAGAAACAGCCACCAGGGCACCAGGAAAGCACACTGTGAAGTGGCGCTCACCCTTCGCTCCCGCGTGAAAATGGCCACTGACCCTCTTGGAGCCTCGGCTCCCTCCAGCGCAGCTCTGAGGGGAGAACGAGGCCTGCCTCCCTGGGCCCACCTGGGCTCAGACGCTCCAGGACAGGCAGGATGCCAAGAGTAGCGTCCGGCATGCGGTCAGTCCTCAGTGACGGCAGCTAATCCTTAGAAGCAAGATGAGATGTTCCGTTGCCACCTTTCAGGTGCCTACCCTCCACCTCCAGCTTTCTACCTGTCAAAACACGCTTCCCCGATTGTAAATGCTGCCAAACTCCGATCAGTCAAGCTCACAATTTTTTCTCAGGACAAATCTTTATCCTTAACTGGCTTGTCGGGCCCTCGGCTGTGTTTGCAGATGCTCAACACCCTGGATTCTACCCCCGGGAGAGGGAGAGGGGTCCCTTCCCTCCGGTCTCTGTCCCGGCCCCGGGCACCCACATCTGGGTCACACAGCGCAGGACCCAGCAGCCAGCCCAGGAGCAAGGCTCATGGGCCACAGGGCCCACTCACCACCTCGCTCCTCCTGGAAAAGCACCAGCTATTTTTGAAACAAAGTACTTCCTTGAGCTCGAGAAAGTCCATATTAGTAAAAGCACGGGGACTGCCTCCCGGCCCTTCCTCTGGCTCTCTCTCTCGGTTATTTTTAGCAGTTCCTTTCTCCACACCGGCCATGGAGAGAGAGGAAGCAAGCGTGTCCCTAGGGCGACGCTGTGACCTCATGGCTCCCCGGCCACGGGGTCCCTGCGAGGCTCAGGTTCCAAGCCGTGTGTGCCATCCCGGGAGTTGCTAGACGGCTCGGGCCTCAGTCCTCTGCCCACAGAGCAGTTCTGCATCACGGCTGCAGAGAAAGGTCCTCAGCCCAGTGCCTGGGAGCCCTGGACACAGCCCTGGAGTGAGAGGCAGCCTCAGCTCGGCATGCCCCGTACGTAAGAGTCTCCCAGAGATCCATTGCCAACCATCCTCGGAAGTTTCCTGATACTCTTAGCCGAGACCCCCAGAAGCACATCCCGCAGAGCCGCTAGAGGCCACAGGCTGCCTCCTGCCTGCCCCCATCCCACAGAGCCATGCCCACAGAAAGAGATGCCACTTCTCTTTCCCTGAGTCCACGCTGTTTCAGACCTGCTGTGATGGGGGGATGGGGTTGGAGGGGGGGTGGCCTCGGAGCGGCAGTGTCCACCCCAGTCTCTTCCCACAGGATGAGGCTGAGCCTCCTTTCTGGGGGAGAAAAGGTCACCTCCCCCTGGAGGCAACGCCGGCCAAGAGCAGGGCCACCTCGCACCCTCAGGACCACCATCATCACTTCCCAGGAGACCCACAGAGGGTGCTCAGCCGAGCTGAGCCCAAATCACCAAGCACAGACCTGGGAACAGATAGCTGGCCGTGCTTCTCAGCCACAGAGACTGGTCTAGGTGTCCACAGACACAGCTGACTCAGCCCGGCTGCAGCCCAGGCCTCCAGGCAGCTTCCCCCATGTACCCAGGCGTCTGCTCCCCTCCCTGCAGTGCCCCCACATGTCTTCACCTGGCCCTGTGATGCCCTTCAGGCTCTACACGTCGCCCTCTGACTCGTGGCTGGCGTCCAGCAGGTCCTAGAATACCACCTGCCCACCGCATGGGCAGAGACCAGTAATACCTGCCGGGTTCAGACTGACATGGGTGTTTCCCTCAGAGCCGGGATGGGCTCCCAGCCATGGGTGGCTCAGCTCCACAGGACCCCTCCGACCTGAGTCCCCATCAAGTGAATTTGCCTCCACCCACAGAACTGGGCCCGGGGCAGGAAGCCTGTCCACGCCAGCTCCTGGAAAAGGACATGTGGCCCCCAGGGTGTCTTATGTCACAGTCCTTGAGGTGGCACAAACCCACCCACAGGGGAGACCAAGGCCAGGGTCTGGCCAGCAGCCCCATGCCTGGCTGCAAGCCTGTAGCCATGGGGAGGTGGCGAAGAGAACTGACCCCAGGAGGGAGCTCCCTCAGAGATGGGCAGATTTCCCAGGAACAGTTCTTGAGGAACTTGAATCAAAAAAAAATTAATTGTTGTCATAGAGAACCGATTTAGGGACATGGGTTGCAGGAGAGGAAGGAGATGGTGAGATGATTGGAGGGAGTAGCATGGAAGCATTCACACTACAGTATGTAAAATAGATAAACAATGGAAATTTGCCGTATGACCCAGGAAACACAAACTGGGGCTCTGTAACCACCTAGAGGGGTGGGAAAGGGAGGGGAGGTGGTTCAAAAGGGAGGGGAAATATGTACACCTAACGGCTAATTCATGTCGATATATGACAAATGAGAACAACATTGTAAAGCAATTATCCTTCAATTAAAAATAAATTTATAAAAAACATAAACTGATGTCCAAACGAACAGTACAAAGGAGAGAAGAGTGTGTGCGTGCAGAGCTTTCTGGGATGTCCCCTGGGCTCAGCTGAGCCATGAAGGAGTCAGTCCACACTACACGGGGCCAGTTGAGGTCAGCAGAGGGGTCCAAGCCTCCGAACTTGTGTCCAGCAGGAGAGAGCTGGGAAGAATGTAATGGATGTGAGCAGTCCTGGTTCACGTCCAGCCTGGCCTCTGATTGGCTGGTTGGTTCATCCTCCTGGTCATGGGCTTCTTCCCTGAGATCAGGAAATGCCCCGAGGCCTTTGCCGAGGATGAAATGAAGTAATGACTGAGAGGTCAAGTGAGCCCAGCTCAGGCACTCAGGAACCTGTACTTCTCTGAGTGAGCCAAGGAGAAAACTACATGTAGGCATTTTGCGACCATCACAGAGACATTTGGACTGTTTCACAGCTCCCTTCTTTCCAAAGCTGCTGCAAATGTAAACACTTCTATCTGACACCCTCACCCAGACCAGCAAGCTCTGAAGGCTGCGGCCTCGGGGAGAAAGGATCAGGGCCCCATCCAAGTAGCTCCAAAGGTGTCCCAGCAATCAGGGCGGTGGGGGTGCGGGACCAGCCTGGCTCAGCACACCACCCACATGGGAGGGAAGCCAGGTCCCCCATAAGGGTGAGACAGTGGGGGAGCCATGGCCAGCAGAGAGGATGCCCCTTCATGAGATGCCCCCTGACATCCTCATCAAAGAAGATCTTTTCAGAAAGCGTTGAATCACTTGAAAATTCTTCAAAGTATATCTGTCTATATGGAACTCACAGTCCTCCTACTGGAGCTGGACTCAGCTCACACCAGACCTTCTGCAGAGTCAGGCCCTGGACCACACTCCGAGCATCATCAAGGGCATCTCCATGTCCCCTCCCGGCATGGCATTTCTCCACCTCCCAGAGCTTTGCTTACTACCTAGAATCAGGGAAATGAACCATTTTTAAATACAAATTAGGACTGACTTGATCATCAATTCCCAGGTTATATGGACACACACACAGAATGAGAAACATCTATGGTTAAAACAAGACTTAGAAGCAGAGACATTTAAGAACTTGGTTTCCAGAATAAGAAGAAACACTTCAGAACTGAACCAAGGCTCTGCAACTGGGCTCGATTTTTGTTTAAATGCAAGAGCACTGAGAAGAGGCCATACCTAAGTTTTCAGATTTAATGAGAAATGGCAGGATCCCCAGTGAATGCAGGGGTTCTCAGCCAACCCCTGAGAACCCCGTATGGATCATTCTTCCATCAACCCCAAAGAGACATAACCTGGCTCCCTCTCTTTTGACTGAGATTTCTGTCTCCTCTCGTCTCCCAAGTTCCTGCTGGTCCCACCCCATCCCTAACCCAGCAGAAGCCACAGTCCCAGCCACAAAGCCAGCTTCTCAAATGAGGCGTTGCCTTCTGCAGAAAACCAACCCATCAGCCCACGGCGATTATAAAACAAGGCTGCTTAGCCGATGTCTAGGCTGTCTCTCCCAAGTCATCAAGAGCAGTCATCTCGTTAACCGCATCCTCTAAGATCAGGGTTAGTCACACTTTGCTTCATAGGTTCCCAGGTCTGAACTGAATGGACATGCTTCAGAGGACTCCAAAGAAGCACTAGAGTCATGAAGTTTCATTGACAGGAATTCCCCTGTCAATGAAACTCGGGGGAAAAATAAGTAGAAGCAACAGCGAGCTGGGTCCCTCAACCGCTTGCCTACAATGAGTCCTGAACAATCACTTGAGCTTCAGCTAAGAGATGCTTAGATCTGCGAGGGTTAGAACCTGACCTCCATCAGGAAATGATTTCACCAGGGATGAACCAAAAAGAAGGAGGTATCTGATTCTTTCTAAGCTCTCCCTGACGGAAGTCCATTCAAATGTGTAAAATCGATAACTTATTAAAGGAAAGAATCCGTTGACTCTGACCTTCCGAATGTAAGCAAACTGTGCTATTTCTACTCGGTATAAGGCCCAGGGTGGGATGTAAAAGAGAAAGGGAAGGTTCTGCTGATCTTGAAGCTGAAATCCACTGAGCCCTAAAATGTGATGATGAGCAGCAGGAAAATTGTAGGAAGCTAATTATCTACAAACTCGAACCCAACACTGACATGTCGAATGATGTCATCATAACTGAAGCGTTGGCGGGACTCTTCATTGTTTAACTGGGTCTCTCCTCGGCACAGGACATGACATCACCTCGCGGAACACAATATGGCTCAAGGTAGGCAGATGCTCAGAAACAATAGGGGAGGAAAAAAAAAAAAAACAGAAAGCCTGCTTTCAAAGCTCCAAGGATGTCACTGCAAGGGACACGTGGATTTAAGCTAAAAAAAAAAAAGTGAAGGGAATGTGATGTGCTTTTTGGAAACATTATGAAGAGTATCCTTCTTGCCTGGGGAGAAAACACTTCCCCCGGCTAACACAGGAAGGAAGGGTAGGCGGACGCCCTGGCAGCCTCAGGGAAGAGGTGACAATTCAGAAGGTTCCCTCAGGACCATCTCTGTTTTCTGTTTGAAGGAGGTGGTGAGGCTGCATGCTCAGGTGTGACACCCGCAGAGTGCCCAGAGGAACAAAGGAAAACAGCAACGGCTCTGTCACATCACCCGGAGGATCAACTTCCCCACCCCGAGTTGTTATATTAGAATGAGCTTTTGTTGTTATTTAGGTGATGACGTGTGTTCCAAGGCAGGCTCTCAAAACCACGTGCTCTCCTTTTTGTAGAACAGTCACATGTGTGTCCCAAGACCAGTGTTCAGCGAAGCAGGGGAAGACACAGGACCCCTTCATTCATTTATCTGTTGTATGCGTTTGTCTGCTTTCAGAACATCACGGGCATTGCACCTAACATGTGCCTGTATTAAATTATCTGGTTTTGACTGAACTAACCCTGAAAAAAAGGACAAATAGGTTAAAGTCTTCTTCACAGAAACACTGATTTGAGGGTAATGGTAACAGGAAAGGCATAAGCCCACAAGAAGAGCACAGCGCCGCTCCAGCCCCCGCCCATGGGGCTCTGCCATTGAGAGAAGGATGGCAGGATGATCTCGTCAGATCTGCAGAAAGATGGCCACAAACAAATGTATTCTCTGATCTATGAGATTACAAATGAATCACTGGAGAGGAAGCTGCAACTAAGTGTGCACTACAGTTGAAAATACAAACTAATGACAGCACGAGCAGTAAGACAATTTAAAATAAGCATGTAGAACAGGGAGAGTAAATTGTGAAAATCTTTACAATTTTTAAGGTATTTAAGGTTGGGTATACTCAACGTAGTACTTTATAAACTTTTTTTTAACTTGAGAAATATTTGTAAATCTCGCCTGGGCTCTCTCGCTTCATAGGAAG